TGGTCGCGTGGTGTTCCTTCCTTCTGTATTGCAACCATTGCGGGCGCTGATGATATTCCGTGTATACCTACCTGCAGTATGTCGACATCTTTGCGAGCATCACGCTCATGCAGCCGCCGCGTTACCTGTCGCTGTACAAGCGCCTCTTCGGAGGCGGCGCAGGCTTCTGGGCGACGAACGCGAACCCCGCCGGCGCAAGCGGGCAGCACTCTGAGCTGCGCATGGACACGCTCTCCGGGTGCCCCGACGAAGCGCTCCTTGCGATCGCCGAGGTGTCCGCGCTCGCGAACTGGAAGACGTCGGAGCTGCGGAGCGGCAGCCTGAGCGTGCGCGAGCTCATCCGGCGCGGGGACGCGATCGAGAAGGAGCTGCGGGAGCGCGCGACGGGGAAGCGCATCGACGGCGACGACTTTGGCGGTCACGCAGGACAGTCGTCGTCGTCCCTTGGGGGCGGGCTGGATATGACGCCCGCGGGGCTCGCGGTGCTCATGTCGTCGCCGCAGCCGGGGATGTCGGCGGGGTCGAGGTCGGCTATGTCGCCAGTAGACAACAAGAAGCACATTATTGGCGAGATGTTCCGCGAGGCTGCCGTGCTGTATCTGCACACCGTCCTCAGCGAGTCTGTACCAGGTACGGCGCACTCACCTCGGTCCGATGTTGCCCATCCGCTGACCCAGCCTCCACAGGTGTGCCTGAGATCATGAACAGCGTCGACCAGATGCTAAAGCTGCTCAACGAGCTGCCGCCGTCGAACTACGACCGCACGCTCGTGTTCCCACTCTACCTCGCCGGGTGCATGACCGACAACCAGATGGTGCGCGAGGTGATCAAGCACCGGCTGTTCATGCAGGACGCGACGATGGGCAACATCCTCCTCGCGCAGACGATGATGGAGGACGTCTGGAACTCGCGCGTGAGCATCATGCGCATGACGCGCCCCGGCGAGCACCCCGTCTTCCCGGACTGGCGCGCGTGCCTCCGCATGCAGTGGGCGAGCCTCCTCCTCGTATGACCCGGGTGCCGTCCCCGTCCTTCCCCCTCCCATCCCCGCCTCTCACCTCGCTCTCCTTTTTCCCTCACCACCGTTCCCCGCACTCCTCCCGTCCGGTCCCGGACTCTCTGCTCCACCTCTGCTCTGGTCTTCACGACGCTGTATATGTCATTCATGAGGTTTCCGACGGAAGCAACATACCTATATCGATATCCAGCCCCCATCCTAATCCGCCTCGGTCTCTTTCGTCCTCCGTCCTCTCTCATGCTCTGCTCCGCTCCCGTCCTATACCCCGACAGGTAGAGGTGCCCCCGGCTACCCGGGGCTCCGCGGATGTCGTATATGGTCGCGAACCTATGTAATGTCTGATTAGCTCCTCTCTCTCTGTCTTCATATGTCGATATAGCATACATATATTAGGATTATACGTGCCTTGTGTCTTTTCCAGGGTTTGTGTTTGCCTTTGCGCGACAGTGTGCAGCGTCAAGAGAAGGGCGCTCGAGAGTAGTCTGGCGCAGGGGACGGCTATGACGACATCGACGAGCAGAGGGTGAGTAGAAGCCCAGCGCGGCGCGTATGGTTATGAAGCGAGCAGTAGCAGCCGGTAGGGCAGAAGCGGGAATGCCTAGAGGACAGCCTGAGACCTGAAGTACACAGCTAGAAGAAGAAGGCACGGAGGCATAACCGCTTCACGATGGTGGCGGCGGCTGGAGGAGGCTGACTTTGATCATGACTTTGAATATCGGAACTGTGTGGAGTGGCGGAACGGAGGTCAGCCTAGGCTCTAGCGAGGGGGTCGACATGTGCGCGAGGAGAAGGGAGCTGGGAGGAGAAGGAAATTCACTGGTACTCACGCTAGTGATGGCTTATATGCATGCGTGCGTGACCGTCGTTGCGGGCGTTGGGACCAAGAACCGCATCGTGAAACTGGGTGTCCATGGGCGGAGTGCAGAATGAGCGTCCACTCGTGGGCGCGGATCAGTGATAAGCTACGCGAGGAGACGCGTGTGGGCTGGTTGATGCGCTCACCCGCTGCTGGGCGGCAGCGCAGCTGAGGCGTGGAGACCAGGGGAGGAGGAGAGGGTCTGCAGTCCGGACGGCGTCGAGACTTCGAGACTGGTTCGCGCAGGTGCACCGGGCACTGCGGGATGACGATGGCGGAGAAATGGCGAGTTGGTGGCATGAACGGTATGTGGTGATCAGCATGGGGTTCACGCCGCAGTTTAACGAGAGTTCTCATCATAGCGGCTAGTGGGGGTCCATTGAGTGGTCTTCGCCGCAAGAGGTGATCCAGAGGTGGATATATGCGCGCATCGTGACAGCTTTCGATGGACTTTGCGGGGCAGAAAGCAGGAGTTCGCAGGTGAGGATGGTCGAGAGAGCGCGGGGGAAGATGGGGGGAGGATGGGAGGAGGCGAGTATAGAGATCGCTATTTACCGGTGGGCCGGCATATGGAGGGGCCAATGGGAGACGGGCGCCAGACCGGCAATCGGTGATAGACTCGGGAGGTCAATGGAGGACGACATTGCCTCCGCACCGTGTCCTCCTCCGTCTCCTCGCCCGGCGTGTTTACCGCTTCGTGCTTCCCGTGCACGCTGGGCGCAGAAGAAGGGAGGAATGTGGGTTCAGCAGAGGAAACTCTCCGCACCCCGGTGAGTGCCCGTACTTATGAGAACGAGGACCGCGCTCAGCCGGGCATGATCTGCTTAGCCTCGCCGCCCTGGTGCGTGCGCGCTGCCCGCCCATCTGCCTAATTCCGTACATCCACTTCTCGACTTCCTCCCCGTCCTTCTGCGACTCCAGCGTCGACGCTGCGCTCATCCCAGCATCCCGCCTGCACGATGTGAAATCCCTGCGGTACCTCCGTATGCTCCCCCTCGTACGCGTCGCCTCGGGTGTCAGGCCCTCATGCATCATGGTCCACGGTGCGTTCCTTGTCCCATGCCTTGTGCTTCTGCGCGCTGAGAGACAATGCATGTAGGGCTGTTCCCTTGCGGAACTCTATCCAAGCTTCTGTCGCGCCCACCCACCGCTAAACGAACGCGCTCTCGAATTCTATCCATCCAGGCCCCTAGACTTGCATTGAATCTCCTGCCCTTGCCCTTCCTCAAGCTCACTTCACACCCCAAGATGACCGCATCGGACCGATATGCGCCTGGATACTTGCCATCACCGGGCTTTCCTGACGACACCCTCAACCTGACATTCTCATCTGTCACGACTCCCAGCCTACGGCGGCGACGCGGTCACCGAGTGCGAGCGCCGCCCACCGCCAGCCATGATCGTTGCCGCTCATCACCTCGAGCGCGCGCCACATCCACACCCACAGTGGCAGAAGGGCTGTCACTGTCAGAGTGTCAGCGCGCGAGGACGTCGGACTGGAGGCCGCGGTTCCTCCTTCCCAACGGAGTTTGCGAACGCAACATTGCAGCTGCGTCGTGGCCTTGTGGCTTCCCCGGCGCTGACGTACCTCTCACGACGCGGGTTCTCCATCTGCTCGGGCGCGCCGGCTGGACACCTCTCGCCCTGGTCCTCGATGGATTTCCCGCAGGGCCCACACGCGCTGCAACCCTTTCATCGTCCAGTGGCTACCTGTTACATGCTGGCTACATCCTTACTGTCCTCTGCAGTCCCTTGGTGAACCTTGCTGGGATGGGCCGCGACCTCTCGACCATCGTTCCTCCCATGCTCAATCATTCCCGCACACGTCCGTCCGTCACTTCAGGGTAGACATCGGCACGAAGACCGTTGTCAGACCTGCCCGTCTCTAGCCGGCCAATGCACCCCGCTCAAGTTTCAATGCAAATGGAGAATACTCCTCAAGGTTTGCGCTCATGGAGCGCGGTGCTTTATACGATACTGTGCCTCTCCATGCCCGTGTCCAGCGGAGGCTCTCGACGCCCAACTCGTGAGCCAGCGTGTCAGCAAGCCGTTCGTACCGTCGCAAAGGTGAAGCTGGGTGCGGGCGCACGCTTGATGCCACCGTCAAATGTCCGCATCGTGTCCGGTTGGGAGCGGAGGTTCTGTCGCAGCGTGAGCAAAGCTCTGGTGTTATCCGCCGTGCTGCCGTTTGGCGCTTTCTGACCGATAGATGCTTGCAGGCGCAGCCCAGGATCAGCGCAAGCTTTGTGCGCCTGTAGACCCAGGCCGTGACGTGGGCTGCAAGCCCCATGTCCCCCTGGAGAAGGGCGGCGTGCGGCGAGTGGTGGCTGCGGCGGCGACAGCCAGAACCTCCTCGTCGGTGCACGTCCGTCCACCGATGATGTGCCTAAGCATGGCAGCGACGTCCGTCCCGTACCTGGAGCTGGTCCTCTCGTCAGGCACGCACAGACGTACTTCTATCGGTCCACCCGTCAGCCACGGAACACCAACGAGAGACACACGCATCGTGTGCCTTGCGTTCTCCGAGTGCGTCTTCCCCATCTCCTACAGTTCAGCCTGTGCAATCAATCCAACGACGCCCCATCCCGGCGTTCCAGAGCTGGTCGCCTTGAGGCTTCTGTGGACGAGTCGACGACGTCCAGGATCACAGGGCGTGACGGGAGATGCAGCCAGTGGTTGTAGCGGTGCCGGGACTCGGTATCGGTATGTGGCCTGCACTGTGTCCTTAACTCTCAAAAGACATAAGACGCTGATGCTACGACGCTCCGGGGTGACACTTCGAGAGTCCGGGTGGGTTCTTCGGATCCCGGGGTGGTTGTGGTCCTGACGCGGTACCGGTCCACTGTAACGCTCTGCTCGCAGCAACAGCAGAGATGGTGTTTAAGTGGTTGTAGTTGGTGTGGGCTTCGCTTCCTGCGGTATCTTCCGCTCCCCGTCGGGTTCGTTCGGCGAGTGACTTTTGGCATGTAGTATGTGCAGGGTCGATGTAGGTGTCACACAGTCAATATAGATCTACTCTGCAGATGACTACTGTATAAGTATTGTCGAGGTACGGTCGACTCGGCTTGCTTTCGTCGCGAGCCTAAGGGCATAGCACATATACCAACCATTGGATTGTACAACGTGTCTCTGTTAGTATATCGGTTAGTACACGCGCCTGTCATTTCGCCTCTTGTGTCGAGATCGCGCGAAAGCGGGGTTCGACTCCCCGACAGAGAGGACACAAGGCTGCAGCTTTTTGTCGCCCTTTCCAAACCACTGCGGGCGACTTACCATGTCTCGTTCAATTGGAACGGAAGGGAAAAAAGCACCATTTTTGTGCATTACGACAGGATCACGATCCCCTTCGTTCCTTGGGGTGTGGAGGTACGTACGGCGCGGTCGCGAGGTATCCCATCTCCTTCCGCGCTCTACCACCATCAAGTATGGTTCAGAGATACTGACCGAGTGGATTTTGCACCACCACATCAGAACAGCGGGGAGCTGACTTTGCCCGTTTTCAGATACCAAGAGAAAAAAGAACGGGGATACCGAACGTAAGGACGGGTCAACACTGAGAAGGGCACACGAGGCTGGGGAGGTGAAGACGCATACGACTTATGGTACATGGTGATCAGAAGCCGGAAGGTGACGCTATGCATAGAAGTACAGGTGATGGTGGTGCTACCTACAAGGTCCTTAGGCAAGAAGAGACGAAGAGAAGAGATGCGGCAGAAGAGAATGCGCCCAATAGTACATACGGAAAGGACAGCCAAGAAGTGAGGGAACGATGGAAGGGAAAGAAAAGAGGACGAGGCGGAAGAGACACCGTGCCGCAAGTCGTCCATTCAAGATCCAGTCAGGAAGGTGGTCATGGTACATACGATTATGTTACATTTTGGCTGTATCCGGAAATCGCTGTTCATAATGGCGGCGGCGGAAGGCATGACTGTATGTTGTGGTTGTCACATGGAGGGCACCGGACACGGCGCGAATAGACATGAGGATATGTGGGAACGCCGTCTGGACTCTAGACGGCGGCGTGGCAACCGAGCCACGATGCAGGTCAGGCTGGGGAACTTGACGTTACACCTGGAAGCGCAGGTGCATGGCGTTCTTCAGGGTCTGCCAGCGTGACGTCTGCAGCTTGTCGGACTCCGGGAAGACGAAGTCCCATCTGTAGCGCGGGGACGTCAGTCTATCGCCCACCCCACGGGGAAACAACACGAGAAGAAGCAAAAAGAGGAAGCGAACGTGAAACGCTCCGAATCGGGGCGAAGACACGATGCGGGGTGCGGGGAAAGCGAGGCGCGAAGGGCAGACAGACTCACCGTATGACCAAGTCACCCTTCCCCACGACCTTGCCGTTCTTGCGAATAGGCATCCCCGCACCGAAGATCCGTGTTCCGTCCGCGGCCTCGACCAGCGTCCGTGGGATGGGGAGGGTGTATTCCTCGCCGTCGAGGCCCATCACGTACACTTCGTCGTCTTCAGGCTCGTCGCCTTCGTGCTCGTGTCCGTGGTGGCGCCATCGTCCGAAGCCAAACCGGTACCGCCCTCCACCACGGCTGCCTCCTTCGCTACCGAGGACGCTGTCGTCATCTTCGTCGGTGTCGGGCGAAGGGTACGGACGGCGGCTGTGCGAATCTAGCCAGGGAACACGCACAGGAAGAACTATGTCGTTTCCTGAGCGCGTGAAGCGCGGATGCGGGACCTCCTCGACCACAAAGACGATGTCCTGGAACGAGCCGTCTGGGCGTTGGTTGCCTACCCCTGGAACGCGAATACGCGTGCCGTTCCGCCACCCGGGGGAGACATGAACGTCGATACGCACACTTTGCGTCTTGTACGAGGAGCGCGCATCTGACGACTTGTCGCTGCGCAGCGTCCGTGTGACGCGATAGTGGTGCTTCGCGCCGAAGTACAGGTCCTCGAGCGTGAGGGGAAGGGGAAAGATCCAGTCTTTGTCTTTGTCTTGTCTTTGCTTGTAGTCGAGAGGTGCTTCGGGGACCGGAGCGGCTTGAGAGGCGTCCCGAGGTCGATGAACTCGTAGTCGTCTTCTCCGAGCGAGGGCTTCTTTCCCTTCCCATGGTGACGGTGTCGGTGCTTGTGCTCGTGAAGAGAGCTATAGAGCGGGAAGAAGGTTCATGTGAGCACAATCACGCAGTCAGACTTGATCGGGAACACGTACTCAGCCTCAGATGATGTATCGGAGTCATCATCGTGGTGGTGAAGATTAGATGGCCTTGAAGGCCGTGGTGATTTGGGCGCAGCAGAAGACGTGTGAGATGCTCTGGGGTGGGAACGGTCCGTACTAGGAGATAGATGTGACGACTCGCGGTCACCAGACCGACGCGCCCTGTCGGAACACGTATCGCGCGCGTCCTTAGACTGCGGTGCGCGATGGGATGAGGACTTCGCTCCAGAAGATGAAACGTCTGTGTGCTTCGCGGGTGGTGAATGTGGGGGCTTCGTGGAGGGTGCGGGTCTCGCGGAAGTGGGATCTGTCGGCTTCGCCGTAGGTATCTCCGTCTGCTTCGTGGTGCTATCTGTTGCGCAAGAAGCTCCAGAGGAAGACGCGCTTGGTGTCGAACTCGACGAAGATGACGCGCTAGGCGTTGAAGCGGGCCAAAATGAGCGTAGGGTAGATGAACCGTCCCCGTCTTTACGGAGCCAGTGATGCTTGTTTCGCTTTTTGCACTCGTGTACAAGAGCCTTGTAGGCGTCATTGACCTACGAAAGGATATGTTCGAGCCCGATGGCGTTGTTCAGACAGCGGGCTACGCACCTCAATGAACTTTTCCTTCGACTCCTCTGGATCAGCATTGTGACGATCCGGATGCCACCTGAGAGCCTTGAAAGAAAGTAAGGGTCAGGTCGCCCGTCGGCGTTCATGGCAGAAACAGCTCACCAGTTTCTTATAGGCCACCCTGACGGCATCTTCGTTGAGATCGTCGGGCCCGAGACCTAGCGTCTCGAGGTGCTTGTTCACGTCCGACGTGGATGCAGGCATAGCGCAAGCAGGGTATAGGTACAGACAATGTTAGCAGACACAGTAGTGGCGAGAGCAAGACAAGCTGGGGCAATTCGGGAGGAAAAATGGGCGGTCAGGCTCGGTTAGGCGAGGGAGTCTCGACTTTCGCGCATCGGTTATATGCCTTGAAGTAAAGGGCAACGAGGCGGAATAACCGGATCTACCCCACTGGACTGGAACAGTGACGATTCCGAGTGGCACAGGACAAAAGAAGAAGTGCGACCCTTCGGGGGACGCCTCGTGGCAAACATGCTTGATGAGAGGCACTCCCGAAACCGCGCAGGACGATGATCAGGAGCGGTGGCTCACTGGCAGTCTCGCACAAGGCCTGCATTGCTATAGATCGCAAACACTGCGGCATGTAGTTCGGGCATGAGTACTGCGCGCGTTGGGCCAAAGTGTCCCTCCAGACAATGGGAGCCTGTCCAAGTAGACGACTGCCGGCGCACCCTGTGATGCTGTGATGTGCCTCCTGGCGGGCATGCGCCTCGTTAAGCGGTGCCGAGACTGTGAAGGGATGAGCATTGAGCATAAAGTCGAGGACACGGCATTAAATCAGACATCACTCACGTCGGATTGGTCGGTCAAGTGAGCCGCACACGTTTTGAGGATAGGCTTCGCTAAGGAGCCCCCAATCCGCTGAAGACTGCCTAGTTCATAGCTCAGAGATCGGAGTCAGAGTTCAGATGACTTGCATGTTCACGCCCCGAGCATGATGCGAGCATGATACGGATACACAGACAGAGATATAGATGATGTGCGCAGGACGGGATTGTCGGTACTGAACATGGCAGTTATGGTCAAGTTCATCTGGCAATTGCCGAAGCAGCTCGCATCCGCTTAAGGTAGGCGCTGTTGTACGCTGCCTCTGGACTGCCGCATTCCTCATCCCCTTCAAGTCGCATACCAAGCTTACTGTTCTCTGTTATTACTGTTTATCATGCTCAAAGGCCTCGTTAGCTATCCAGCTCTTGAACGTGAGGACGTACTTTCCGCTCGAGGACACCGAGGACTTTCTCCAGACTGCACACGTAAAACGGGCTTCCAGTCGTGTCTGGCAACGGCACGGTGATGTATTGCATGCTTCGCGCGGAAGTGGAGACGGTATGTCGCAGGTAAGCACTGTTCTGCGCGTTGTTGTAGTCATTGAATGGGCCCGTTCGTTTTCCCAGGCACCTCGGTCGACACGTCAGCACGACGAAGGACCTATCCCTGAACGCGAAGTCTGTGAGGGTTTGCCCTAGCCCACTCGCTTGGAAAATCTGGTCCCTATGTCCGAAGGCTGATTCCGGAGGGCTGTGGGTCGTGGGATGGCGTCCAGACGGTGGCACGAAATTGATCAGAGTGGAGTCCTGAGTCCCTTTCGACATGCTGTCGGGGCAAGGTATGCCGACCGTTGCTTGGCTCCTACATCCCGGTCTCACGCTTCGAGCCTTGTCTGCAGGCCTAGGTTGGGTTTTGCTGGTCGGAACGTTCGTTGCCAAGTGGCGTCTGTTTGGTCAAGTCTTCAAGATGATCTCCGTCGCCTGGCCGGTACTATGACATCCTCCTCGCCAGCTGCGACTCTGGAGGCCCTCTGCGACGACGTACTGTGCAAGAGACTATCTGCAAGAGACTCTTCCCAGCAAATGTCCAGACATCGTGCCTTGATCCGCTCGGTCTAGGTCGGCGCGTTGAAGGGCATAGGGGCATGCACGCCGGAGGTCGCTGATTCTAGTGTTCGTTCGTACATGGTGTGGTCTCCTCCTGTCCTAGAAGAACAATCTCGGGCTCTCAGGCAATGCTCCTCGGAAGCCTTCCGTCAACCTGCCCCGAGCACGCCCATGCACCCTTCAGGAATGCTACGTTGCGCCTGTTCTTCGATCCTCCAACATAGGTCTTTTGGTCCTGACACGGGTCAAACCCCCTTGCCCCGATTACTATGTGTACTCTATGCGAGCCTCTCATAGTCACGACCCACAACTGGCAACATCCGCGACATTCATCACACTTGTCGTCCCGAGGTGCAGGTCTTGACTCTTTGCGTGTCCGGCCAGCCGTACCGTATCGCCCTAGGAGTTTCTGCCTAATCGCCGTCAGTAGACTTCTACACATGTATCTAATAAGTAGTCACGACATGCGATGCACTAGGTTACGAATGCCGAACACTTCACCTAAACGTGGTTCTTTGCTTCCGTCATCGTGCAAGTGCACGACCGCTATTCAT